TCTAAATAGATAACTTGGACTCATAACATAATGTTAACTGAAACAACAACCAATTAAAAGTCATCTAAGCAAACAACAAATTGTTTAACTATCAACCCGAAGGGATAGAAGGATTTCTCCCAAATCAAAGATGTCAAAATATTTTTAGCAAAAATTTTCTTTTTTGAAATCATCAACTCCCTTCCCTGGGAAAAAAAGATGAATGTGAGAGAAAACACTAAAAACACTTTTTAGTTTTTTTAAAAACACTTTGAAAATATTGTTTTCTTGTTAATAAAATGTTATGAGAAAAGTTACCTACTTAGTTTTGTCTAAGCATAATCAACCTCTCACAACATAAATTTAGCCACTAATTTTCATAATAAATTATGCAAAGAAGAAATATACCTTAGATTTATATATATAAGTCGGAATCAACTTACTCCAAGAGTAAGTTTTTTTATCTTACTCCAAATCTTAGCTTTTAAATTGAATTTAATCTAATGGTTAATTAGCATTTTTACTTAACTAACCATTAGATTAGATTCAATTTAAAGACTATGATTTATAGTAGACTATAAAAAATTTACTCTTGGAGTAATCAAACACTAGATGTCGAGTAAGATCTCACGACACTGGGATCAGGACAGTATGGCAACACACATAATTACGTAATTAAAGTAAGTGGATGAATGTAAATAACACAATCAATTGTTAACCTAATTCGGTGCAACATCACTTACATATGGGGATATCCAAGCCAGGAAGGAAATCCACTATAATAGTATTAGTTTGAAGTCTAAGTAAACAACCTCTGGTTTATAATATTCTTGCCTAATCACTACCCGTGCTATTTATATCTAAGACACTTTTAGATATGAGGCCCTTCTCACTTCCCACACAACAGTGATAAAACCAAGAATAATGAACAATAGAAGACACAGTTCCAATGACATAAAATCCATTCTTTCTTAAAAGATTATGAATGATTACAACTGAAACACATTCTAATTCAAGCACCTAAGAGGTACATGAATGTCTCACAAATGCATAATAAACATAGTCCAACTCAGATATCAAAGTGATATAAAGTGGTTCACAAATAACAAAGACACAATAAACCCTAAAAACTTTTCTTTCAATACACAACTTTGATATTTCATTAGGTTTAGAACAACTATTTTTATATATCTTTTGATCAACGTGGACTTGCGCTCTTTATCTAAATAAAATGCATCTCCTAAAATAGGAGTTGCAAATATTCTGCATGAAAATAGGAACAAAATAGAAAGTTTCCTAAAAAGTCTCCAAGATTCTTTTTATGAAACAAATGCACTTCTGGCATATAACTAATGTTCCTAAAATAACCCTCATTGGAATGCGACGGAGTGTGAATTAAAACCATATAGAATCTCATACTTTAAAAACAAATCTTCCAAATACATAAAACCATAACACTTGGTATAACATGTCACAACATTGTGCTGACCATCAATGTTGTCTGACCAACATGTAAAGACATCTTGTTGTGATACTTGTTTTAACAAAATTGATGACAATCCCGAAAACACAGAACATACAAAACTTTGTACCACAAGGTTGGTGAAAATTGAGTAATGAGGGGGAGAGAAAGGGGAGAGAGAGAGAGAGAGAGAGAGAGAGAGAGAGAGAGAGAGAGGTGAAAATATACTGACATTCAACATTCTCATTACAATGTTACCTCAAAGATATATATATATATATATATATATATATATATATATATATATATATATATATATATATATATATATATATATATATATATATATATATATATATATATATATATATATATATATATATATATATATATATATATATATATATATATATATATATATATATATATATATATATATATATATATATATATATATATATATATATATATATATATATATATATAAGTACAATTGATTAAGACATTAAACATTCTTATTAGAATGATACCTCCAAGGTATATGAACACAAGTACAATTGATTGGTATATTGCTCGCATGTGTTTTTTTGCAAACAATCACGAGTTTAGTTCACTTGTGAGATTAACTCGTAAATTTTTGGAGCATTTTTTGCAAAACAAATGTACAAGAAAAAGTGAACACAAACTTCAATGGTGAAAAATCTTAAATCAATGTAATAAATGAAAAGAACAATAAATGACGTTAAACAATAAGTGATGTAAGTGATAAATAAAGCAAAAGACTTCAATTAAGGAAATATAAATATAATAAAAGAAAGGGACACAGACTCATACATGTTTCACTCTTTGGCTCGGGTACTCCATTTCTATGGAGAAAGATATGAATTTTTGTGACCTTGATTATAATGTATAAGCCTACTATTTATACTAATCTACAGGTAACCTTCTCTGACATTTTATTTCTAGGTCAACAACATGCACTTCAACCTTCTAAAACATCTCCACATTGTCAGAACTTGCAAACTGCTGAAAATAATTATCCCACTTTCATAACTGCTCCAAGCAAATAACTTCCCTCTATCCAAGAACATAGTGCTAATATTAGTTCATTCTTCAAACACCATGAGATTGATGTTTCTCCGAACATAAAGATGTATCCAATTATAGAATTTCTATCATTTTTTATTTCCACACCAATTGGAATTGGTAAAACCAAAGAAATTGCATTTTTTGTTCTTGTCCATTGTCAAAAAAAGAATTGTGCAACCAATAGATCCTTTGATGTATCTTAGAATCCTATTGACTACTGCCAAGTGAGACACCTTCGATCTCTCCTTGAAACTACTGACAATAGCAACACTAAATTCCAAATTCAGACGTGCATTGCACAAGTAACACAAGGATCTAATCAGCCTCATATACTGAGTTGTATTGATATCTTGCTCATCCTTATTCTTCGACAAATGAAGCCTTGGTTGAGCCGTAGTAACAACCTCAATACAATGCTCCATTTCAAACTTCCTTAAAATCTCAAGCGCATACCTTCTTTAGTGTATGAGCAGTCCCTTCTTGGACTTGCGGAACTCAAATGATTTCAACTTCTTCTTCATAACATATATCCACTTTGGATCACTCAAGGCCTCCATTTTAACGGGTTTGAATTCGACCATAAGTGCAAAATAGACAAAATTACCATTGTCATTGACTTTGTTATCTCGAATAGCTCACAGTCTTGGAAGAAAACCTCCTTGCCTTGTTGATCTTCTCACATTCTCTTAAATTCAGACTTCAACGAGGCTACTTCTGCACTATCAAGCACTGCATGGATTATTTTCTCATTGTTGTTACATTGTACAACTTCTTGGCAACCGAGTACAGGCTGCTACATCAGCTTGATTTTGTCAAAAATGGCGTCTTGACTAACCACAATTCTTTTGTTCGTTGCATCATACAACTTGTAACCAGTAATGGAGTGATACCTTACAAGTATCACCAATTCTCCCTTATCATCCAGCTTCTTTCTAAGTTATCTTGACACATGTCGATATACTACCGAGTCAAACACTATCAAGTGATTAAGCTTCTTCTGGTGTTATCTTCTCGTGCTTCTTTGTTGGATGTCCATTCAACAAATATGAAGTCATGAACACCATTTCTCCCCATAATTCTTTTGGCAAGTTCTTCCCTTTCAACATGCTTTTCACCATATTCATAATCGATCGATTCTTCCTTTCAATAACACCGTTTTCCTGTGGTGTATATGGTGGTACTACATCATGTACTACGCTCTCTTAATCACAAACCCTCCAAAGTCAATTGAGACATATTCCCCTCCACCATCCGTTTTGAAAACATTAAATTTACAACAGGTTTGCCTTTCAACTATGGACTTGAACTTCCTAAACACTTGTAATATTTCTTCCTTTCTCTTGATTAGTTATATCCATGACTTTCTATTATGATCATCGATGAATGTGACAGAATATTTAATACTACGAATCACATCAACTTGCATTAGTCCATACATCTAAATGCACCACCTCAATGTGATGCTTAGTTGTAAAACCCACACCCTTTCTAAATTACTTATTAATTTTTAAATATTAATATATTCAAATATTAATTAAATCACTTATTTATAAATATTCAAATAAATAAAATTTTAAATAAATTAATAAGTCAATCAGATCTTTAAAAATATAAACTTAAATTTAAAACTAACATTATAATATGTTACAAATCATGCTTAGTCTATGAACTTTTTTAGCATATCATATTTAATTGTCAAGCCTAACTCGATTTAGTATTCAATTAACTTTATGTGTAGTGAAGAGTTTACTTTTTAGCATATCATATTTAATTGTCAAGCCTAACTCGATTTAGTATTCAATTAATTTTATGTGGGAAAGAGTTCACTTTTTTATTCCATATTTCCATAGTATAATTTTAATATTTTTATATATATGAAATTTTTAAATATTTATGATAAGTAGTTGAATATTGTTATCTTTAAATGTAAAATAATTTAAAATATTAATTTATTTTTAAATAAAAAATATATAAAAAGTGACAAAATATTAAATGTAAATGTTTCATTAGACGATTGATCACCTTTTTATAAAATATTTTTAAAATAAAATATTGATTTCCATCGTGTGTGAAAGCAACCAACTAGAAGCCATAAGGGGTGCAATACACGCGCTATGATGAGGTGTGCCAATCTCGAAGACGTTGCTTTCTTCAAGATAAAGTAACCTCTTTCCTTCCTTGTTGGCATTCCAACCCAATACACTTTTTCAAACTTCTTGTATTCTTCTCATCATTATTCATAGTCCAAACCTAAATGTCTTTATTACAGATTGAATGAATCGTTGAGCCTCCATTATTAACCATTTTTCTTCACTCACACACAAACCAAATCTTTTCCAATCCCAATTTCCATCTCTATTTAATTATTTCCCCCAAATTATAATTTTGATAATTATTTTCTCTCACATAGATAAGGTTCATAAACAGCAACATAAACACAGTACTCTGCTCAACCGGTTTTGTAAACGATATGATGAGAACAAGGCACGAAGATCAACAATCTCGTGCTTTCCACGAGCTATCAACCATCGTTCTAAACCTCCTCCGTTCTACTCCACCGCCGTTGAATATCTCCGATCATCCACCGGGTCCACCGTCACGACCTCAAATCTCCCCCGCGGGATTCGCCTCCATGTTTCTTGGAATCTCGCTGGCTCTTATGCTATGTGGATCCGTCACGTTCTTCATCGGGTTCGTCTTGATGCCGTGGGTTATAGGATTGATCATGGTCCTCTACGTCGCTGGAATCGTTTCGACTCTCTCCGATTTCGGAAGTTATATTTTCCGTTACGTTACGGCGGCGCCAGAGGCGCGTAAGGATATTCCAGGTAACAGAAATAAAACGGTTATGAATTTATTTAGAATATGAATATTTTTTAATATTGTTCTGTATCTAATTTTGAAATTTTTGTTGTTGCAGCGTGGAAGGTTATGTGAGGTTGTGTGGTGCATCATACAACAAATTCTCCAGATTATTGGATGCAGCAAACGTGCATATATTGTTTTTTAATCAAGTTACTGAATTTTGTGTATATGGATTCTCTGTATATTTCATGTTTTGTCAGAATTTTTAGGAGAACTCGTCAAAAATACGTTATAACATTGTTTATTAGCGGCTATTTTTCTTAATTTAATTTTCTAAACAACATTACTAAATCCAAAATCAAAGATTACACTCCTCAAAAATTCCAAATGGCAATCTAATAATTGTAAAGACAAGTACATCAAATATTCCAAAAGATAAAAATCAACATAATTTCAAGCCACACCAAAGTAAAATAAAAGGAAGATGATAATGAGTTAACCAGTGTTGATATGAACACCAATGGCAATAAGAAAGATGGTAATGAGTCCAAAAAAGATGATGGTATGAACCAAAATAGATACACCACTCGTATGCATGTTCCCGAACTCCACCACTCTGTTCCTTCCCGGTATTTGAAACAACAAGCCTGGACTTAGCAACACAAACAGCACCACTGCTATCACCACTGGACCCCAATCCGCCATTCTACTACTATAGTACTTATTTTTCTTTCTTGATTTACAAAATTACAAATCACAACACAGATATATATATTTGATAACAGAAAGTATAACAGGTGATTTATTATTGTTGTGTGGAGTGGTTCGGTGGAGTGAATGAAGAAGCAAGCTAAAGAGATTGGTGGCACCTGGCAGCAGCTTAGTGAGTTTAATTAAAGAAATTATCTCATAATACTCAGATTAGTACATGGGAGTTGATTAAGGCAAATTCAATTGAGTAAGCAAGGAGGGAATGAGGAATTAATATACTAATAAGGAGAAGCAATCAAAGATGCAAATAAAATAAGTAAGAGCTAGTTTTAAGTTTGGATTCGGTGTCTGTATGTCGTAGTCGGTGGAAGTGGTGGCTTGGAGAGGATAACAATTAAAGCAAGCGCTACGTGCCAGCATATTCTTTCTTCTGGCTTTTCATTTAATTCAACTGAATTCCGTGCAAGATAAGATGAAAAAATCAATTTAGTTTGTGTCTTTCAGCCGTTGTAAAGAGACGAATAGTAATGAATGACATATTGTATTTGGATTATTAATTAACATTTTGGCCCATTGCCATACGTCTCTCCAAGGAAGTTTGGGCTTTAATCTTTCTTTTCTTCCATTTTATCATTGCGATTTCTTTTTAAGGTATTTTATGGGTTCTTTTTTAATGTGTGGTTTTTTCATAAATGTTTTTGGAGATATATTTTCATATGCGCTTTATGGTTCAATTACATCTCCAGAACGAAAAGCCTGCTCTACAGCAATGACCACCTCATCAAATCTCGCCTTCAAGAACGAAAATCTAACATGAGCACCCCTGGTCCTATCCATCTCCTCGAGCGTCATCCCTAGATCATCCCTCAGATGCTCCACCATTATATCGATCGCCTCGTCTTTGGTCATCCTACCATGATGGAGGAATCTCCCATTGATCGGTAGATGCAACAAAGACGAGACCTCGTCTAGTGTAATTGACATCTCACCATGCAGGAAAGGAAAGAAAGAGGTCTCAAAGTGCTATCGCTCCACGAATGCATTAAGAATCATGTGGTTGACCAGAGTGTAACTGATCAAGCATAGGTCACTCAACCCATAAGCGTTTAGAACCGACTGAAACCACTCCTCATCAGGCTGATGCAATTCTAAAATCTTTCGCCCATTGTTTAGAAATAATCAATGTCTATAAGAATTAATGTTAGAAATAATCAATGTCAGCAATTTAAATTAACTTAAAAAATATAGTAACAATGTGACTAATGTTACCTCTCAGTCCCAAATATATCTAGCAGTGTGGTCTGGATACAGAGGAAGTGGGGACATATCAGATGGACCCCCTCCGAAATCCTCTGGCTCGATATCAGCAACATCACCCTCCGAAGGTGGACCAGTGCATCCCGATCAGCAGGTGCGGCCGAATCAACAAGAGATGGCACATGTGTATCTCGCCGCCTGCGGGTGAGTGGAGTGGCCTGAGGTGAAGTCTGAACCCCAGAAGTGGACTGAGCCTCAAGAGTATATTGTACACTAGCAGTCGACGCCTCTCCCTAAATAGAGGTAATTGCTACATCCAGACCCAACTAACTCCGCTCTCGTATAACAGATGCATGCTGGGAAACCCGCCCATACCTCAATCGGTCGGCTCTATCAGCCATTATGCCTGCAAGGTATTAACTGTATCTCTGGGTGATTCTGGAGATACAACTATGGAAACATTCTGCATATGTATCTCCAGAATCATCCATAGTAAATGAAACATTGAATGTTTTCGGAGATGTATTACCAGAACATTCTAAAATTCAAAGGTCGCGACAATGGCGTCCTCTGCCCCTCAAAATGAGAAGTTTTAAGTCCTGGTCATCCATTTGAGCCAAAAACAATACACGCAGCTACTTTAAACTATGTTTCATCTGATTTATAAACATTTTGACACCTAACAATGAATCCTAACTCGTTTACAACAAAACTCGAATATTTACCAAAAACTCAAAAAATTTACCCAGAATTCATGATTTAGAAAATTTTGAATGATGAAATGGATGATGATTGATGATTACTAGAGCCTCGGACTGATGAAATACAATTTGGTGAAGTTGGAGAAATTTGGGAATGAGAGAGTGGAAGAGTTTAGTGAATGGAAATGAAAAAGTGTGGGAGGAGAAGAGTCTGGCACGATAATATGCTCCAAATTGTTTGGAGATATATCTCCGGAATATTTCAACATTCAATTGAGATTTTGTGCGTCTGGAAATATATCTCTAGAATATCTTAAGTTTAATTAAAGTATGGTGCATCCGGAGATATATCTCTGGAAATTATAGGCATTATAGAAAATCTACATGGTGTCTAAGAAGCTCATGGGGTGCCTTAAGAAATTATCTTTTCATTTTTAAAACATAAACTTAGGGAAATTATGTGTGTTTCTCAAACTTCTACAAAATTGAAAATGCTTTATATATATATATATATATATATATATATATATATATATATATATATATATATATATATATATATATATATATATATATATATATATATATATATATATATATATATATATATATATATATATATATATATATATATATATATATATATATATATATATATTCAGAAACGTACCTTTGGATGTACTCAGAATCATACCAGATTTTGTTTTTTTTTTCGAGAATCACTCTATGTTGAACAAAATACGGTCTGAAGATGTATCTTCATATATTATTGGGTGTATTCAAATATGCATCTTCAAAATATTTCCTAAATTTCTTTAAAAAGTATTAGAAGCGTGTTATTTCAAAGACGCATCTCGGGAAACTTCCTAAATAATTTCATAGCAGCATTATTGTCCAAACATTATAATTTTTTGAGGACAAGTTATATTGAAGGAAACTTAATTTATATTAAAAGCATCATTGTCTCAACATTGTAATTTTTGTAGGCCAAGTTATATTAGCGGAAACTCAAATTATATTAATGTAAAATGAAACTAACAAGTCATACAATAATTATAGAAAATCTAAAATGTCAAGGTCATACATAACATTAAAACATAAACTACTGAGTACGTCTAACCCATGTCTTCTTGTCCTCCTGTACTACAAGGCATTCCATAACTTGGCATTCATTCTCTTCACGAGGGATAACTAGGAACTGTCATCATGAAATAGTTCTGCCTATATGCCTGCTCTACCCGTCTCCACAACACACTAATAGACCTTCGACACGTCCTCGATGTGGTCATCCCTAACCTTAAGTACCTTCTGATTAGCTAGCCTAGGTGGTCTTTCAGGAGCATCTGGTGTCATGTTAGGGTGTGACATTGTTCGCATGTGTTTTTAGCAAATAATCACGAGTTTAAAATATGTATATGAAGTGATTGTGATCGTTTATGCAGACATAATAAAGACAAACTTTAACAATGAAGAAGCTTAAATTAAAATTAAAAACTGCAATAAATGACATTAAATAAATGTAGTAAATGACAGAAATAGTAAAGTGTTTCAATTAAGGAAGCATAGACGATAAAGAAAAGGGATGCAGACTCACAGGTTACTCAAAACTGTTTCACACTTTGACTTGAGTACTCCAGTTCTATAGAGAAAGTATATGAATTTTGCGACCCGATTATAACATACAAAACTTCTATATATATATTAAACTAAAGATAATTGTCCCTGACAACTTATTCCTAGAGAATAAACACGTCTTGAAGAACATACAACTTGATCTTCTGATGCACTTTCACATCGTCGGTACTTGAAAACTGTTGAAAACCATTATCCCATGTTCATAACGTCTCTTAGTAACTAGTAATTTCCTGCTTGTCGAAGGTGATTGCTAACAGCGCTAAGACCCCTCTCTAGTGTTTGGTTTCCAAAATATTTTAAGTCGTTGAAGTACGTCAAACACTTCAACTTCAACATGTTGTCGAGTGATCAATTAGATCTGTTTCTGAGACTCCTTCAAACCATGTCTTAAAATCTACTCTTGAGATTCTTCAAAACTATGGTTCAAAATGCTAGTCGACACGCTTTAGTCGATGTGCACAATGCCGTCGACTTTTGTTATTCAATGCTAACACTTAGCATTTTCCTAATACAACATTCAATTGACTTTTTTTTTCTAAATAGAAATTCCAAGCTAATAGATGTCCCTGAAAAGTGCCACTTTCAATCATATGGTCAGATGGAAAAAATGTGGTGTTTTTGTAACCCTTTGTCACTATTTTCCCAGTCTATACATGTCACATCAACGAAACATTTTATTATTTAATTATTATTTCTTGGAAATTATGACCATTTTCTACCACAACTTCATATCACAGACATGTATGTAATGATCATCAGCATCCCCTATTTCCAAGGAGATTTAATATTAAGACAATACTATTTAGTTCCATTTTTCATCTTTTCAAT